GCTCTCTGGCTGGGGTCCTCCTGCCGCCCGCCGGCCTGCTCCCTTCGGGGCAAGTCCTGCTTCTTAGGCTCTCCTTTCACACACGCGCGCGCTCGCTGGGCCGTCCCCTCCTCTCCGGCCCTCCTCCTCCTGGTCCTTGCTAAGGCTGCCGTCGGGGAGGATTGATGTCCCTTCAGCATCATGCAGCCGCCGCCGAGGAAGGTAAGGGCGCAGTTGGTGGGCTTTGGGGTTCGGAGGGATGCGTACGGGGAACGCGGCTGGGGCGACCGCTGCGCCCCCTCCCCCTCCCGCAAGGGGCCGTGACCGCCCTCGCCTTGGGCTTGTCACCGACTTGCTGCCGGCTCCAGGTGGGGGGCGTGCTCGTGAGTTGCCTTTCCGACAGAGGGGCCGCCGGGGCTCGTCGCTTTTCTACGCAGGAGACCCCCAGACATTTCACAAGAGTTTCGGGTGTGCATTTGTGTGTGTGCGCGCGCATGGCAATGCTGCCCGCTGCAAAGTGCATTCTCCGGGCTGCACCGAGGGGGAGGCAGGGACGCCCCGGCAGCTTTGCAGAGCCTTGTGCGTGTGTGATTGTTTAGTCTGCACCAGCTTTGAGCCCTCCAGCCGCTTGTCGCCAGCCCCGCCCGTTTGCAAATTTGCGGGGGATTTGTTTCTAGCCTAGCCTTAGGGTTTGGCCTGCTTTTCCCACGGGGCGGCCGAAAAGAAGTTGGAATAGTCACCGCCTCCCCACCCCAAGGGAAAATAAATTAAGGATTGACGGGTCCTGCCTCGCTCCCGACTGAGGGGCGAGGAGGTTGTAGTGCTGTCTTCTGAAAAGCGAGGACCGGGCCCGGGAGGTGCGTGGCGTGTGCACTGCGATCCGGGGTTGGATGACCAGGGTGGGAGTGACGGATGCACCCTGCTTGTCATCAGCCTCCCCGCTGCGCCCTTCCCCAGCTTTCCCAGGGGTCGAGGCTGTGTCCTTGTCTTTTTAATCCTACAGATAGATACTGAATGTCTACTCTGGGCACTGGGTGGATGAGGCCATTCTGTCCTCCCCTCGTAGGCAAACATTTGCCTAACGCCTAACTCACCCGTGTCTGCTGCCTCTGCTTTCTCTCTTTCCTAATCCGGGTTTCTCCATTTAAGTGAGTCATTTTCTTTCGAACATGTACCCCCACCCCTTCGAGTGGTCCCACTCCTAAGGCCGATATTCCAGACCCACCGTAACTTCGCACCCTGGGGCCCGGCCTGGCGGGCGAGGCTCTCTGGCCAGCAGGCATTTGCTTTTCTCGCTGTTTGAAGTGGAGCCTCTACCGAGATCGGCTTGCCGGGGTAGTTTAAAAGCACTGCATATGCTGGAAGGTCACTTTAGCTTTCTCCTTTGTGAGAAAGAGATTGTGATTTGATGCGCTGTCAGCAAGTCGAGGGCATCATTCTGAGACAGTGTGCTTTTTCGCAGCCATTATGGAGTAATTTATGTAGTCGATTCATGCATATTATCATGATTGTGTAAATATTGGTCATTGGGTATCAGGCACTCTTAGGCTCCCAGCCCCCATCCACACTCTGCTCGCCTCTCCTGGTGGTTAAAGTCTTTGAATCTTTTTTAGAAATAGAAGACAGCCTCTTTTAAAACTCTAGGAAGACCTAGACATGGATTGAGCTTGTGTATGAAATGGAATGACTGGCAGTTTATTTTGCATGTCTTTAGTTTATAATATTTATAGTCATGTATTTTCATTAAACCTCTGTTCAGGCTATTTGGCTTTAATTTTTCATTAAGTAAGTATCTTCAGTAAATAAAACTAGATGGCGAATAATGGATTTATGGCCTTCAGGGGAGAGGCGAGCAAGAGACATATTCTGACAGATGTATTTTCCTAAAGCAATTTTTTTGGGTTAAATTTGTAAAAAGACCTTCATAAATATATGGTGTATTTTAGGTGAAAGTTACCCAAGAACTGAAAAACATTCAAGTTGAGCAGATGACAAAACTTCAAGCCAAACATCAAGCAGAATGTGATTTGCTTGAAGATATGAGGTAAGGCTATAGTAAATAGTTCAAGGACTTCTATTTCTCTGTTTCAAAGAAGCTTTGAGTTACCAAGCCCCAGGAACTGATGATGGAATTTCCTTTTGGATTTCCTGCTTTAAGGCTGTTAGAACTTTGACTCAGCTGGAAGTTAGAACTGGAACTAACACAATACAAACTTTTTCCTTCAATAGGGGACCTATAGTGCACACATAGTATTTGGAAAAAAGGACCTTAAAAGTCTTATTAGTCAAATTATAATAATTAAAGATTCTTGTTTAAATAATCTTTCCATGGAACTGTAACAATCATTTTATTGACCTTAACAGTTTTACACAGTTAGATTTTTAAACCAACACTTGTGGTTAATGGTTAATATCTGGGGGTGAGCCAGTCAACCCCAGATGATTATATGCTCTCACTGGGTTAAAACATGACAAATACAACTTTGTCTTTGAGTGCCAAATTTAGTGAGAAGTGTGTTTATCATATTTTATTTTATTATTGAGGTTACTCATATTCATAGTCAAGATAACTTTGAATAGCTAAGACATCTCGCTAATATTGTGAAAATCAGTATCTTTCTTCCTAGAGGGATGGATGACTTATTTTAATGAAAGAAATACCACTTATTTAACAGTCTTTTAATACAGACTGACAGTTCAACAAAGATTTTTGTCTAGAATGGGAGATGATTTGCATGGTGAAACAAGAGTGGCTGCAATTCTTATTTCCCTTTTGTAATACATTTATCAAATTGGAATTGGGTCTGTAAGCCTTATCAGTTACCTAGTTTTCTGGTAGTACACTTCATGTTGGTTTCATGAAAAATATTAACTCGATGGTGTTATTATAAAATTATGTGTTTGAATTGCTGTTTGTAGCCCAAAGATTTTAGTTTTAAGAATTTCCTTTTTTTCCTCTCCTATATTTAGGCACTATAAGCATTTCTGTTGTATACGTGTCATTAGGGTTTCTGACTAAGGCATATAAATCTATTCTCATCCAATCTGGATTTATCAAGATTGTTGTTTTCTGACTGAAAATTACAATTTTAATTCTGTATTTGTCTTTCCCTCCTTGTTATAACCATAAGAAAATATTTAGACTTAAAAATTCCTATGCGAGGCCATGCGTGGTGGCTCACACCTGTAATCCCAGCACTTTGGCAGGCTGAGGTAGGCAGATGACCTGAGGTCTGGAGTTTGAGACCAGTCTGGCCAACATGGTGAAACACTGTCTCTACTAAAAATACAAAAATTAGCCAGGCATGGTGGCATGCGCCTGTAGTCATAGCTACTCGGGAGGCTGAGGCAGAAGAATTGCTTGAACCCAGTAGGTGGAGGTTGCAGTGAGCCGAGATGGCACCACTGCACTCCAGCCTGGGCAACAGAGGGAGACCCTGTCTCACAAGGAAAGAAAAAAAAAAATTCCTGTGTGAGATAGCTGAAACTCTTGATGTGGTTAAAAGTTTAAGGTTGTTAACTTATTAAGCAAACTAAGAAATCTCTAGATGAAGAAAGTAATAAATTTTCAGAAGCAGTTCAGGAAGGCAGAATTAGTGTGTAAGTGAAGATCCCGTGTGGGGTATCGGTGGTCAGTGGTTGTAATAATTCCTGTTGATTGTGTCTTCTAAAGACTTCTTGATTGCATTTTGTCTGCATTTTTCCCCTATTGTCTGTAGCTTGGTGCAGGAGCGTATGGTAAAGAATATGGACACTGCAGTCAGACAGTCCTGAGTTTGTGTCCTGATATCTGTGCTGACTTGTGGAAAATGAATTAATCTTTATAAACTTAATTTTTCTCATTTGTAAAAAGGGGCAGTAATGGCCTCTGTTCCCCAAGGTTGTATAGATCAAATCACAATGCATGTGAAATATGGCACACATCTAAGCTAAGCTGATATAGTCTCTTGCTCCTGTTCCTGTTGCTTAGTTTGTATTATTGCTGATCTATCACATTTGGCTTGCATTATACTAGTATCCTAATTATTGTAGTGGTGTCCTTATATCTTCCATCTCCCATCTCTCCTTTTAAATATTTCTTCCACATTACCACCAGTTAGCTTTCTAAAAACATTATTATAGATCACTCCTCTGTGGCCTTCTAGATAAAGGCCAAACACCTTGTCATAGTATATATAGTTCTCTGCAACCCAGCTGCAAGCTTCCTTTCCTGGCTTGGTTGCTACCATTTCATGCCCATGCATCCTTCCTCTTTCTTCCCCCAGCTCTGGTCGCTCGGGACATCAGGTTGTCTAATTGTGCAGTCTACATTCATACCTCTGTGTATGCTGTTGTCTGCCTGTTGGTACCTTTCCTCCCACTTTTTCACCTGACAAATTCTTGATTACCAATAACTGCAAGTTCCTTGTTCTCTGTGATCTCAAAGGATTTTGATTTTTGCTCATGCTTCTGGCATCCTCCCTCAGGTGAAGTCTTTGAAGTTATGGGCTATTACTCATTTTTGTATCTTTATACCCTTGTCAAATGAATGTGACTGGCCATATTTAAATGTATCTTATTTTTTCTTGGGTGAGATACTGTATACACTCTGTAGGGGGCTATGGGGGCCTCTGTTGAGCTTGTGTTATATACTTTGGTTCATGTGATCACTTTAAATACACTATCCTGTTTGTTGTAGAGTATATAATATGTAAAGGCAGAGATTGTTGGTGCTCCAAGGATTAACAGGTTATTTGTTTGAAGGAGTTAGTATGTTCTTCTATCTATATTAACTTAATGGAATGAATCCTTTCATTCCCATAGAGTTGTGAATAGGATACTGTATTACCTACTGAAACAAGGGTTTAGGTTTCTGATTTGCTTTTTTTTTTTTTTCAAAGACAATATTGAAAAAGTTGAAACTTTCACCTTCTCTTGGTATTCATGATAACTTCAGTTGCCTAAGGAAGGAGGTGATCTGGCTTCTCTTGTCTGCTCTAGCAAGTGGAATGATTTTTTAAAAGTTCATTGGAAATCTCTGAACTTGGGTGTTTTTTGTTTGTTTTTGAGACGAAGTCTTGCTCTGTTGGCCAGGCTGGAGTGCAGTGGTGCAATCTCAGCTCACTGCAACCTCTGCCTCCTGGGTTCAAGCAATTCACCTGCCTCAGCCTCCCTAGTAGCTGCCACCACACCTGGCTAATTTTTTTGTATTGTTAGTAGAGGCTGAGTTTCACCATGTTGGCCAGGCTGCTTTTGAACTCCTGACCTAAGTGATCCTCCCGCCTCGACCTCCCAAAATGCTCGGATTACAGGCATGAGCCACTGCGCCCGGCCCCAACTTGGGTTTTTATATGAATTAAGTTGTAAAGGATCTTGCTTGCTTTTCCTCTTTTGAGATTAGTGCTCCTTCTCACCAGTGCCTCTTGCCAGTTTTATGCTCAATTTAAGTTAGTATGAATTCACTCAGAAATGTACCAATAGCTTTTTATTCTTAGAGAAATTAGTAGTAGATATATATATACACACACACACACACACACACACACATATATATATACACACATGTATTTAATTTGAGGCAGAGTCTTACTCTGTTGCCTAAGCTGGAATGCAGTGGTGTGATCTCTGCTTACTGCAACCTCTCCTCCCAAGCTCAAGCGATCCTCCCATCTCATCCTCCAGGGTAGCTGAGACTCCAGGTGCGCGGCTAATTTTTGTATTTTTTGTAGAGATGAGGTCTCACCATGTTACTCAGACTGGTCTTGAACTTCTGGGCTCAAGTAATCCTACTGTCAAGCCACTGTGCTCAGCCTGAGAAAATGTCAAAAGTTTTTATGACATTGAAAAAAGTTAAAAAAAAAAAACACACAGCATATTAGACTGTAAATAGAATTTTATACTGAATTTTATCTATTTCTTCCCCCTTACGTCCCTTCTTCTTTCTTTCATTTTTTTTTTTTTCTTAAGAGACAAGAGTCTTGCTCTGTTGCCCAGGCTGGAATGCAGTGGTGTGATCTTAGCTCACTATGTCCTTGTCCTCCTGGGTTCAGGCGATCCTCCTGCCTTAGCCTCCTGAGCACCTAGGACTATAGGCATGTGCCGTCACAACTGGCTTATTTTAAAAACTTTGTAGAGACAGGGTTTGTTTGTTGCCCATGCTGGTCTTGAACTCCTGGGCTCAAGTGATTCTCCCACCTCAGCCTCCCAAAGTGCTGGGATTACAGAAGTGAGCCACTACTGCTGCAACCCACCCCCACGGTCCCCAGTTCTTATCTTTTGGAATTTCGAGGGGAGGAGACCAATTATGATACAGTTTTTCTCCTTTGTTCTCCTCCCCTTCTTCAGTTCATTTGTTCTGCGGATGGCATTTGGAAGCTAGTATTTTGGGAATGAAGTGTGAGATGAAAAGACAACTAATTTGTTGTTAATCGGGACATTCCATGCTTTGGGGAGGTTTTATACTGATGTGTTTTCTGTTGACTTTTGCTATCAGCAGTAGACAAGTAGTCTACTTTCTTTTTAGTTTATTATTATATTTTTTTCTCTTTGCTTTTTAAGGCCACTTACAATAAGTTTCTACATACTAGAGTGTGTGTACTTTTCTTCTTAGGATTGTTTATCCTATGCTGTGCTGAGTAGAGTCAGTTAAGAAAATTTTTTGCAGTGACCCAGAATAAAAAGAACTATCTTCTTAGAAGACATTTTAAGGAGGTCTATAATATGGAAAAATTATTGAATTTTAGTCAGGAGAATAATATGTATGTTCATTTTATAGATGAAAGTGGAAACTGAGGCACAGTGAAATGAAGTGAATTATATTTGTGAGGACTCTAAGCTATTTGTCCTGATTTCCATACTACCGTACTGTCCCATGTATCTGTGTTTCCCAAGCTTTTAACCAAGGAACTTATCATGAGTCCAGTTGTAAAAAATATTTTGCCTATCAAAAAGTGTAATATATTATCAGGAGTCGGGGTGCGGTGGCTCATACCTACAATCCCAGCACTTTGGGAGGCTGAGGCGGGTGGATCACTTGAGGTCAGGGGTTTGAGACCAGCCTGGCCA